GTCAGTAAAAATAAAGATGTAATTATTTTCCCACCCACAGTTTTAACAGAACCCCTGATGAAAGGTCCGTGGAGTCTAGGCTAAGAGTCCTACTTTAAACATTGAGGCCTATGGAACTGAAAGGAACATTTAAAAATCATCACAGCTGGGCACAGTGGCTCATGCCTATAATCCCAGCCCTTTGGAAGATCAAGGCAGGAGGATTGCTTGAGGCCAGGAGTTTGAGATCAGCCTGGGCTACTAAACCCCACCTATGAAAAATAATCATCATCATCTGAACCAAAACTTTTGGTCCTGATGAAGAAACCAAAGTCTATACGAGTTACATGACTCTGAATCTCCCATAGTGTCTCAAACATACTAAGCCTATAATAGACACACAATAAATATTTCCTAAATTGACTGAACTAAGTGACTTGTCAAAATTACATAGCTAGTGAGTTCAAGTGGAGACTTGAACCCATATGTCACAACTCCCAAATAAATGTTCCTTCAGTCACATTAAGTTAATGCAGTATTTGCCTTTCTATAAATGTCAATGTAGCAATCACTCCTATGCTCAAAAGTGCTAGAAAAACATACTCTGGATCTCCATCACTGCCCCCCAAAAGCTTCCCCTTGTTTCTAACAGACTTCTCTAATTCTACATTATATTATCATTTTCTGTTTTCCTCTCGAAAATAAATATCATATCTTGACAGTAATAATGGATGCCTATTCAGAAGTTAATTAATGGTCTCTAAAATATTCCCTAGTTACAGTCAGGTGCTTAGCTTACAGCAATCAGCACTTGAATATCATGCTAAGAAGTTTCCCTGATCTTCTTGCATGACTTCCATTATTATTGCCAACCTCTATTCAGAAATTAGCAAATGTTTTTAGGTTTTTAAAATAATAATACTACAACTGACTGGTTTGTTCCATCATATGCTTGTCTTCTATATCATCTCAACTACAAATTGTCTTCACTATGCCCAATACTCATGTTATCTCACATATGAATCTCTCATGACATTTTTATCATCCATCGAACAATTATACATGGAGTATTTATCATTCCTCCTTCCTAAGTTTTTACACTTAGGCAATCCAACCTTTTTCTCCCCAAATCACTGCTCTAGACACACCTAATTTAAAGTTGTCTTCTGAATTTCTCCAAACCGACAGCTCTCTCCATTATTCCTCCAGCACATAGTATCCTCTTCTCCATATCTGCACCACATCTTGCACACAACAGGCTAACTTGGATTACTCTCTGCCAGAGCACACACAAACCTCCAGACACATAAGATCATCTCTGTCCATCCCACCAAGGCAGAATTCTGTTCATTCTTGTCATTTAGAGCTCACTGCTCTCTCCTCTCCATCATTCCTAATACAGCGAGGGCTCTTTATCCACCCTAATTCAAAGCTTCCTTTCCCCCATCTTTATACGACTCTGTTCTTACAACTCTCTAGAACTGTTATGTTGAATGTAATCACCACTGTTCACATGAGGCTACTGGCTACCTGAAACATGACCAGTACAAATTGAGACACACTGGAAGTGTAAATAACATTGGATTTTGAAGACTTAGTACAAAAAAGATATAAAATATCTCATTAAAAATATTTATTGATTAATGCTAAAATAATATTTTGGATATATTGATTTAAATAAAATGTATTATTAAAATTAATTTACTTGTTCCTTTTAGCCTTTATAATGTGGCCAGTGAAAACTTCTCAATTACATATATGGTTTGCATTATATTCCCACTAGCCGGTACTGCTTTGGACCCTTCTTAATTCGTAATTCATCCCTCCCTACTAGTTAAAAATTCTCTCTTCTTTAACATTCTTACTAAAAAATATTCCCCAATAACTCCACTGCTCCCCACACTCTAAACCTAGAATTCTTTTCAATCTACCATCCTCAATACCTTTCTAAGCAATTATTTCTTTGCACATATTTCTTTTAATCTGTTACTATAGCTTCTTCCTCTACAATCAAATCATTACAAAGTTTTAATTTTTTCATCAATTCTAGTAGAGAATGGTAACTGTCTTAACTCTCAGCAAATTTTAAAAAACAGTCCCCGTAACTCCCAAAAGAATTTCATTCATCATTCTCCAAATTGGTCTACCTATACTATAATTTCATTCAAAGGGGCTAGTAATTGTAAAACACTAAACAAATGTCAATTCACAATAATTTCAGACCAATGTTGCTCATTCATACCCAGAGAGCAATTCTTCCTCTGTCATTTTAAAGACTGCATTCTTTCTCCAAGCTCTCCTAATGTTGAGGATTCAATCCCATTATTCACAGCAGAGAATTCTCTTATTTCACTCCAAATGCTTGAATATAATTCCCAAAACTGAGTATTTGTTTTCCAACCATTTTTAGCCCAGGTCATGTATTATCACACTCCCCAAATTGATTTCATGTCTAACATTTCTGGAATTGCATTTTTTTTTTCTCAGAACTTTCAGGAAAAACTCCAGACTGGAAAGGTGGATGTGAGTGGCTTGACCAGAAGAGGTGGCATGGGTTTCTACTGAGAGGGAAGAGAAGGGTCGGTCACAGATAAGAGCTCCCTTTCGTTGTACTCTTTAAATGTTTCTTCAGTCTCTCCTTCCTATTCTGTCCCAGCCTCCCCACTATAAAACCTTTATGTGTATCTCCTCCCAATATGAATGATTTCCCTTATTCCAGCACTTTCTTCAAATCCTTCCTCTGTAAGGTTTCCTTCACATTATTCTTAGCAAAGAAATTCCTTGCCTCTAGGCCAAGAATGACACAAGTCTCTTTTTTGGCTTCCAACATTCTCCTCAGACCATGAAGATCTTTCCTTTATAATTCCATATAAATTCCAGTTTCCAGTTTCCCATCACTCCCACTACTGAAAAACCTTTAAAGAAAAGTACTCCTAGTGTTGACATCTTTCCCTGTTCCCCTAGTACTTTTATTTTGCTGTCTCCCAATCCTCTAATGATAGATTCTCATATTGTCTCTGTCTGTCTCTCTCTCTCTCTCTCTCTTTCTCTCCTGGTCCATTGATATAGGATATAGTGGCTTTTCATTTAGCCCAGTTCAGAAGTCCCTCTTCCAACAGAGTCCTCTCCTTCTTCATATTCTCTTTGGATATTCCCAGTATGGAGTGCATTCCTTGGTCCTTTCTTCTATTCTTCTTTCCTCAATATTTATCTTCTGCTCTTTTCACCTGTTCATTTCTCTCTCAATCAATGTCTGGTTTTATAGTCAACATTCTATCTACTCCAGAAATGAGCCCCCATTATAATACCGGTCAAAATAAGAACTGAGGGGACCTGAAGGGGTAAGACAAGTTGCTTGGCCTCCCATGGTTTCAGCCTACCCCTCTCAGGCTCCCCTCCCTTCCAGTGGGGGCCCTGTCTCTCTTCTCTCCAGCTCTCATCTCTTTCCCAGTTGTGTCTGGTTATACCTCCATATCCTATTGCCTCCAAAGTCATCTCTTTGACGGCTTGCCTTGCTCTCTTTTCTGTTTTAGGACCACCCTATTCCAATAATCCTACTAATCCCTTAAGATCATCCTGTTATCTACTATGTGCCACCCCCGCCCCAGGCCCTTTTATCTTGTGGACATTTTCTCCCACCTTCCAGTTGCTAATCTGTCTTTTCCTTATGATCCTCCTTAGAAGATGCTACTCTGACTGTAGTCACTGGATCCTCCTGGTCCAACCAGGTAAAAAAAGAAAACAGCCGAATCCCCAAAGCCCAGGGTTAAAGAAGAAAAGCACAAGAAGTTAGGCTCTATGGCAGTCCTTGGGGTCTGAAGACTGATTAGCCTTTTGGACAATTCAGGAAAGGCCCCAAAACCTATAATCAAGAATGGCTTCTCCTGGAAAAGGACAAAAGGACTCTTGCGTCTCCATCTTGCCTCCATTAAAGTCAGCCCCCAGGCCTACTGGGATCATTTCCACCTGCTAAGTCGGCTGCAGTGAATGGCTGAACAGAGGCAGATCCATCCTGAAGCTAAAGAAGTTTAAGCATCAGCATCCCACTTGCACGTGGTCTTGATTTTTCTTAAATAGGGCCCACCAAATTGTGTCAGCTTTGGATCCCAGAACACCTGGATCTGTCTGGCTAGAAGAACACTTTCCTGGCCGACGGATTAAGGACTAATAGAGAGATCAGGAGGGCTCTAATTGAACTGACTCTAAACAGGGCTCTGTTGAAAACACCCTGCCTCTATGGAGCGGGCACCCACTCACAGAGCATCCAGGGCACTTGAATTGTCTCTTAGCTGAATCTTGGGAGGATTCACTTCTCCGGGGTTTTGGGCCACACCCAACTCAGTCCAGCCTTTAGCCCTCCATGGCCTCCTAGTCAGTGCTGGACCACTGGGTGCTAGGCCCCCTGCTAGCTAATGTTCTCTTTAGTCCCTTACTTAGTTCTTCAAGACTTAGCTCTAAATCTGCCAATTCAGAAATAACCTCTACTACTAACGTAAAGCCACAGTCGCCACTTTAAGCCCTCCCTTTACCTCTGCTTCCACAGAGAGCGTCCGGCCCTCAGCGTTTGGGGTCAATACTTCTTCTCCCCGGAAGCCAGAATGTACCCTCCATTCCTAAACTGACAGCTGCTCCAGTATGCCTTCACCCCATGAACCCAGAAATCCCACCCTCGTAGCCTCTCTACCCCTGGCAGAGGAGAAAAAATGAAGGTATTCTGAAAAGGAGTCGAGACCACGCTTGAGAACTAGGATGCGGGGAGGAAAGGCACTGATTGGGAAGGGAGTACTGGGATGTCTTCCGTTAGGCTCCAGGCGCTCTGGGGACGGGGCAGGCCGGTGGTTCTGGGATCCAGAGGTGCTGTGTTTGGAACTGAATTGGAGTCAGATCCTGCGCGCGATCTAGAGTAGGGCTCTGGGGCTCCAGGGCTCCAGGCAGGTGCGGAGACTCTGAGCAGGTTCCCGTCTGGAATTTCCAGGTGAACGGGCCTCCCGCCCGTCGCCCTGGTCGGCCCCAGCACTTACCGGGCAGACTTGGGAAAGTCTCTGAGAAGTGCGGAGGCGGGGGTGGTGGGGGCTGCTCTGCCACTTTCTCGCGGGCCGGCAGCAGCTCGTCTGCTTCCAGCCCGCCCTCTGGGCGTCGGCCGCCGGGCTCGGA